TTCTGTTACAGGTTTAAACCAGTTTCTGATCAGTTAAACCGGTTTAAGTGTAAGTTCTGACCCTAGCCCGGGAGATCAGAATGAGTGTGTCTACACATTGTCCTACATTGCCATACGACATGCTACGGTGACCTAGCAATTACATGTACCAGCAGCTACTTCGCCATATCAGTGCCTGCCCTGTTACAGTGAAATACAGCTAAAACTAACTGTGCACTATGCATATGGTGCAGTTCAGGTGTACTTTGGAAGAACTAAAGCATGGCGCAGTAACAATGTCACTGTAGGACAATGTGTAGATGTGTCCAATGCGGAGGGACAAAATGAAAATGGCTGGAAGTCAAATATAATTAGATCTTTAGATGAAATTAAAATAAATTGTATAAAGTTCTTTAGTTGTTTAAAGAAGAGAACTAATTAAGAATAAGAAGAGCTGCTCTTCAGTGAGGGTAAAGATAAAAATAAAAATAACATAGGTATGGAACAAAATAAATAAATACATTGTCTCAGTTTTTAATAAGGTTTAGAATCTGGGGCAAAGGCAGGATGGCTTATGAGAATGACTGTACAGAAATCAAAAATACCACATCCCAGGAAGCCAAACTCAAAATTGGGGGACTGTGTAATCCTCATCCAGACTACTGGGAGAACTGGGAAGTGAAATTTATAATCCAGATGCAAGGATTTTTAATACATCTATGAAATTTCTTTGAATAAATCTATAAAAAGAAATCTTTCAAAGTAGCATATTACTGGAAATTAATTATTGCAATACCTTTATTTAATCATAAATAATATTAAATAGTAAAATAAGTAATAATAAATACCTTTACTTAAGAAAAGGGATAATGATCCAGGCAAGTCCAAGACTCAATATTGTGCAAGACATTAGAACAAATTTTGAAGGGAAGGAAGGAGGAGGTAAATGGAAAATGGGGTAAAATCTAGTTGTACCAGAAGTCGATTATGGCAGACTAACCAATGTTTTTCTTTTATGACTTACTGTTATACAAAGGAAATCGGTTGTTTTCATCTATCTAGATGTCTGTGAAGCTTTTGATATGATGACATTATTGGCTAAAATGGAGATGGAAAAGAAGAATGGAGATTAGTATAAGAATGCCTAAGTGAGTAAGGAACTGGCCTTGACAGAGGGAAAAATGGGAGCAGGGTGGAATCTATCAAAGACTGGTTTTGGGAGTGAAATAGGCATAAATAGTTGCGTTGTATTAATTTTATACCAAACTGGGAGGCATCGTCAGTAGAAAGGTCACGGGGTGGGGGCATGTCTACACATGTAATTAATGTGCTGAAAGCTTATTGGGTATGTCTAAATGAAATGGTACTGCAAAGTGGATATTGCACTTTTATTTAATGCTAGCAAATTGCCCATCAAAAATGACGGGGATGGGTTGGGTGGGGGTGGCAATGGAGTGCTGCCACCCACCACCCTGTGTCACCTCCCAGGAGTAGGGGAGGAAACCTGCCTCACCGTCCCCTCTGTCCCCCTCTGCCAGCACCCCGCATCACTGCTGCCTCCAGCACTGCTGGCGTTGCCCCCCTGCTCTGTCCCTGTCAATCACTAACCAGTCAGTGCTCCAAGAGCATTACGGACAGACAGACGGATGGACTAAGTCTTTTATTATATAAGAATGTGTATAGGTAGGTACTAAATAAATGCACAGTTACCAGAGCTACTGCACAGTAATGCTAGTGAATGTCTTTTTAAGTTACTGTGCAGTAACCTAATAATACCGCCTTATAGCATATTAACCCTGTTGATACTATGATGTGCTATTGTGCAGTATTATGCTGCTACAGCATAGTCAGCTTCTTATGTAGACATGCCCACAGTGCAGTAAAATACTGTGCAGTAAGCTTTCCCTAGGAGCGTGTCTACACATGCGCCCTTTGGGAGCAAATTTGCTCCCAACAGGAACAGCAGGTATGGGCAGGGCTACTTCTGTCCTGCTCTGCTTCCATACAGCAGCCAGGGGGAGCTCTAACTCCCCTGGCTGCCAGCCATGGGCTGGCAGGGAGCCCCAGGATCAGGCCTGGGCTCTGGAGGGTGGGAGGAGCTGTCCTGCCTCCAGCGCAGCTGCTTCCCACCCCACACCTCTGCCCCAGCAGCTGCTTCCAGGCCCTGGCTCTGAGATTAGAGCTGGGATATCATCCCTTGTCCCAGCAGCAGGAATCTGCTGGGGTCCAGCTCTGGGACTGCCTGCTTCCAGAGCAGGGGACAATGTCCCAGCCCCAGCTTGGATCACCAGATTGGAGTGGGGGCTGGGAAGCAGGCATCTGCCTGGGGGAAGGGACAGTTCTCCCACCTTACACTGCCTGGGAGCAATTTGCTCTCAGTCAGCTATGTACCTGTGCACTATTGTGCATTAACTAATGTGCAGTAAATCTATTGCCTGTATTTTTAGGTAGTAGAAAACCAGGCATTAGCCTACTTTAATGCACATGAGCTGCTGCGCATAGTTATGGAGTGACACTTTACTGCACAGTAGATAAGTCTACTGCAGGGGTTTCCAACTGGGGGTACGTGTACCCCTGGAGGTACTTAGGCCCCAGGGGGTATGTGGCAGCAGCATGGAGAAGCCAGTGGCAGTTCCTGTTTCACCGGTAGCACTTCTAGTTTTTCTGCTGTGTGGGGGATCCCCCTCTCATTAACCAACCACCAGGGAAACCCCCTTTCTCCCCCCGCTCCTCCATAGGCTGCTGGGGGACCCCGTCCCTCACTCATTGGGGTGACTCCCTGCTTCTAGACTGGCTGCTGGGGGTATCCCAACCAAAAAAGTTTGAAAACCCCTGGCATACTGCATAAAGCATCTTGTGTAGATGCACCCTGGGAGTAGGATTATATTGAGGACTGGAGTACCAGAAATGGGATGAAATGAAATAGCACAGTGTGAGGTCAGCTACTTAAGGAATCACAGCATCATCTTTAAACTGAGAGCTTGACGGACTCATGCCCCCTGAGGTGGTGGGGCAGTGACCGCCTGCAGGTGGAATAGGGATTTCCCACAGGCAGCTGCAGCAGTGTTGGTGGCGGGGGGCGAGTGGCAACCACCCGTAGATGTCAGTGGCAGTGGCCAATATCTTGTGTGTGGGGGGAACACATACTCCCCTGTGCCCCCTATGCATTGCCTATGACTGAGAGTTTAGCAGCTGGAAACAACATTTAAGTACAGAGACCTGGACTAGAAGCCACCAGTGTAATGCAGCTGTAAAAGAGCCAGCTTTTTGGAAAATTGCTACTTCAGTACAAAGGGGCTTTTCACAGAGACTTCAGCTTTCCAACATTCAATGCAGCCTCTCTGGTCCATGTGCCAGGAAGCATTGTATCCTATGACCTGTGCTCTCTGCAGGCTGCAGCCATATATTAAAAATGCAACTCAGGGTTCAACCCTGTAGTCCTCTGAGTTGAGTTCAGCTGCTTGCTGTCTCATCCACCCCGGTGCTTAGCTGCGAGATCCCCACACGTCAAAACAGACAAACACTTTGGAAGCATTAAGAGCTGAGCTTGGCTACCTAAACTGGGAGGCTTAAAGCTTGGTCTTTGCCATCACATTCATGCCTCAAATCATAACCGAAATAATGCTGTTGTGGTACGGAAAACCTGCTTAGGCTTCAAGGGAACGAGCAGATGCTCAGCACCTCTGAGACAAATGGTGTATCTATTCAAGTTTTTTAATATTGTGCTGATGAAGGTGAGGGAGTAAGCGAGGAAGACTATGCCAGCCATGGTGGGTAGCCTTCATCTAGGTGTTTTGCAAGGATGGCTTTAGTAAGCATAATAAGTCACAGGCCAAACTCCACTCTTCTGCTCCTGCAATGTGCAGTGGGTGCTGCACCGGGCCTGCTATTAAATACTGCTGGAGCATGTCCCTGCCTTGCGCACGGGGCACGAGGAGACCCCGGCCCCCCGCAATTAAACACAAGAGCTGGAGGGTGCAGCCAACAGGCCTCTGTCCGCCAGCGAGGACGCAGCCAGGCCCGCGCTGAGCACACAGACGGGACCACATCCTCGCGTTCACCGAGGGTGGGGGGGCATCCCCATAGTGCCCGCGGTTCGGTCACGCAGGCCCTGCGACTCGCAGCCATGGGAGGTCGGGGCGACCCGCGGGGAGGGGTCCAGCCCTGCACTGAACGCCTGCGTTTGGCGGGGGCGTACCCGCGCTGTGAATGCGGGGCCCTGTGTGGCTACGGCGGGGGCGGAGGCAGGGACGAGCTCCATCCGCGCTGCGCACGGGACAAATCTCGTCTTGGCGCTCAGCCCCTCTCCCCCTCTACACCCCCCCAGGGACGAACCAAACCCCGCAGAGGGGGAAGCGGATGGAATATTCCAAACGGCTGATGGGAGGGGGTAATCCCCGCGAGGCTCCGCCCTCGGCGGCCCCTTCCCCCTCCCGCCAGCCTGTCAGCGCGCCGCGGGGCGGGGCCTGGGCGATGTCAGCGCGCAGCGGCGTCG